GACCGTTGACCGAGTTCAAACAAGTAAAACTGGGCCAGACTAGAACCAATCTCTTGGTACCTGAGTGTCTACTGTCCTATCTTACCTTAATATAGCATCAAACTTTCCTTTTAAATTACTTCCCCATGAATTCTGAAGATCACTTCTCCAGGAATCTGAAAGATTACATTTAAACTAACGAAAAATGTAAACAACTACAACGGGAGAGTCTCTACATCTCAGGAGATGATACTCAACTATCAATTTACTTTGCTTTAAACTCTGGTCCTGGATAACTGAAATGAATGTTTGATTAGTCATATATCATACTCACACAAATAAGACACAAAGACAGCAACAACAAATAATAGAGAAAGATGTCCTTTTGGTAAATTCCCTACAGCGCTCCTACACTCCTTCCAGCACCTTTAGGCGTCAAGAGCTGTAACGATAATACGCAGACAATATTACGCTTGCCCAGTAGCGCTCACTTTGCCTTGAGAAGTTCGAAAAGAGAAGCCAACGTGAAAGCCGTTCTCTTTTCCCTTCCCCTTTTTCTCTTCCCTTTTCCTTCTACACCTCTGCTCTCCCAGAGTAACAATGTACATATCGATGAAATGAAAACTTCTAGAGCTAGGTAACTGTGCCTCTGCAAAACCAAGTCCGTTTTTCTGTCAGAACCTAGGTCCCAGCGGACTCCACAGGGCTGCCCCAAGAGGCTGGAAGTGCTCCTGTGACAAACCCCACGATGCAATCCAATGCTCTGGTGCCCTAGACATTACACGGCACTGCCCCTGTGTCTTACGCAACTTCTCCTAGTCTTCTCTTTCTTCTCAACGCCCAGTGGGCCCCTCAGACCTTTTCACCTGCCTTTTTTTTCTCACTTCCCTCCCCGCTGCCTTTCCTCCCTAGTTGTGTTTCAGACCCATTAACGTCCCCGAGAGGAAGCGCCCATCCTCTTACTGCGCTGTTTCACACTCTCAAGGGCGCATCCCTCCAGCCCCACCCCAAGCCTGGGCTACTACATGGCGTCCGCACCTTCTTCCTCAGCAAAAGCATGGGACTGAGGAGGCGCAGTGCGCGCGAGTGCGCATGCGAGTGCGCGGACTCCACGCCTCCCAGCGGGCAGCGCAAGGGTCACGTGATGGACCGCGCAGCCGCCCTGGAGGCCAGCCCGGAGCCTGGCTAGGGGGTGGGGGGGCGAG